GGGCAGAGTCCGAGTCGGCCAGGGGCGGGGCCAGGGATGGGGCGGGGGCGGGGTCAGAGGTGGGCAGGGCGGGGCCATGGGTGGGAGGGGGCGGGGCCATGGATGGACAGGGCGGGGCCATGGATGGGCGGGGCGGGGCCATGGATGGGAGGGGCGGGGCCGGGGCGGGGCCAGGCGCTTTCTTCTCACCACAGCTTTGGGAGGTGGTGCTACTGTTCTCCCCACTTTACGAACGAGGAGGCTGGGGCTCAGAGAGGCTCCAGTTCCTGCCCAATGTCAGCGCCTGGCTGCGATTGCCACTAAGCGGGGTCATTCCAGAGCCTGCGGGCTAAGCCTCGGCTCCTCAAAGTGTGGACGTCATGGGGGATCCTGGTTAGAAAGGCAGACTCCCAGGCCCGCCCCGCCCTGCAGCCTCGGGTCTGCATCTCAGCAGGGCCCGGGGTTCGAGGGCACAAAGCTGGAAAGCATGGCCCTGGACCCGGGGCTCCCCTGCACACACGGCGCCCCGCCCATTGGGTGCCTGGTGAGAATGAGCCAACGCTGCCCCTCCAGGCCAAGCAGCCCCGAGGGTCTCAGAGATCCTCGCCCCCAACCCCCTGCAGGCGGCAACCTGCCAACCACCCCAGGGGCCTGGCCTTTGACGGTTGTTGTAAGTGGGAGATGTAGGGCTTTGAAGGCAGGTGTTGCCATGGAAACTGGCCAAAGCTGGTGCGATCACACTCCTCCAAACGGAGCAGCGGGAACCCTGACCGGCCAGCAGGAAGGTCCGCGTTCCTGGCTTCTGTCCCACTGCGATCGGCCAGGACTCGGAGCAGGAGGCACTTCCCAGGCCCTGCCTCAGTTTCCCTTTCTGAAAAGCCCTGCCACCTCCCAAGGAGCAGAGGAGAATGAGAGGACATGTCCACCGCCCCCTGCTCTCCCCTCAGCGCCACGTGGGCAGGGGCCAGCTGCTGGCAGCTGCCAGAGAGGACGCCGGCTCAGGGAAGGACAGAGGGTCATCCCACAGGATGCCCCACCCCCTGCGAGGTGGCCCCTCTCTGCCCGCAGCGTGGGCCCCCAGCAGCCGGCCTGCAGGCTCGGGCCAGGGGTTCCCTGCAAAGCTGCCACCTCACCTCTGTTGCTTCCTCCCCCAGATTTCCAGCCCCAGGTGCAGAGCCGCCTGGTGGGGGGCAGCAGCGTGTGCGCGGGCTCCGTGGAGGTGCGCCAGGGCCAGGGCCGGCAGTGGGAAGCCCTGTGCCACAGCCCCTGGGCCAAGAGCATGGCACGGTGGGCGGAGGTGTGCCGGGAGCAGCAGTGCGGGCCGGCCAACTCCTACCAGGTGCTGGAGGCCGGCGAGAAGGACACGCGGGGGCTGGTCTGCTTCGGGGAGAAGCTGTCCCAGTGCCACCAGCTCCAGGAGCGGCGAGCCCACTGCAAGCGGGTGTTCCTCACGTGTGAGTTGGCCACAGCCCGGCGGGCGGAGGGCAGGCCTGGGTTCTCCTCTAGGGCCCAGTCAGGAGCATGTTTCCGAAGAACAGGCCCCCCAAAAAGGAGATGGCAAATGGGGGCAGAGGGGGCAGGCGTGCTCACACGCAATGAGCCATGAGGAGGGACCGGCCTGTGTTGTTAGGCAGCCGATGAATGCCAGCTCCATCCTATCGTCTACTCTCCCAGGAGGGAAGACAGTCAAGCAAGGGACAGAGGGGAACGCATTTGCTGCATGAACAGTAACCGGGTAACACGTTAAAGAGAGAAGCGGCTGTTGGTATATGACCATGTACTGGGCCATGTATGATGGCGATACTCGTCACTGGCGAATGGTAGAAAGCGAAATAGTTGATTGCAAAAGCGGCCAGTGGCAGCGGGGTGGTCAGCTGTTAGGTGACAGAAGGTCGACGGGCGAATGTGTAGCCAGAATCCCCGAGACACTGGAGAGGCGGCCAGATAGACCCCTGCCGTCCGCACGAGCCGGCGACTCCCTGGGAGAAGCCAGTCGGCAGCTGCCCTCCGAGGGGACAGGTTGATAGCGAGGGGCGGGCTGTCCTGACTCCTCCCCCCCCCCCCCAGGGCAGGACCCCAACCCGGCGGGCCTGGGCACCCGCACCGTGATGAGCATCATCCTGGCCCTGGTGCTGCTGGCTGTGCTGCTGGTCACGTGCGGGCCTCTCATCTACAAGAAGCTGGTGAAGAAATGTAGGTGCAGGTGCCCCCCCTCAAGGCCCTGTGTTGGGGGACGTGGAAGGATCCCACCTTCTGTTTTGCCCCCT